ACTCACTACTACTCTTTTTTTTAAATATAGAAAACGTGGGATCGAAATGAAATCCTTGGAGAAAAAAATTTTATTTTATTTTGGGGAAAAAAAAATAGAAACCAATCATAACCATTTTACTCTATATATATGCGATTCATAATGGGAAAATTATTTTTAGAATTAAAGGGCTGCCGATGCAATATGTTTTAAAATCTAAAAGAGCTGTTAAGATGACAATTTGTTCCATGTTCTAGTGGCACTTTAAAGATGTTAATGAGATGTTGACAAGATTTCAAGAGGTTGCGCTGAGAAAAAAAAGAGAGAATCGCATTTGCTTGCTGTCAAAAAATCCTAAGCTTTCAAAAATATTTCGGCCAATTTTTGAAATTTACTGAATTTTACTTGGGTTTTTTTTTTGTCATTTTTATTGTTATAAATATATTTTCAAAAATATTTTAAAATATATCTCTCGTATTATATCGTTACAAAATTTAATTTAATTAATAACAAAAGAACTTGTAAATCGGCTAAAAATTTATTTGTTAAAAAAAAAAATCCCACCGCTGCCACCAAAGAAGGTAAAAAATGGAAAATCTGTCGTTTAGTGAACGTAATATAAATAAATAGAATTTTTTCGGTAAGAATGAAGGGAAATTTAACTGTATATTCAAACTACTCCCCTCCCCACTTTCTCTCTAGAGATGAAGCAAAGTTCATTAATGCTAGAAACATAATTACGTTACGTCACAATTTCCAAGTTTCTCAGCTTGCCGTAGCAGTATAGTTGATGCAAGAAGAAGCTTCATGAACTGTAATGTATCCTGGATAAATAACTTTTCCCAATTGTCTACTAGACAATCAATATTTATTATCCTAATTAACTTTAGCAAAGTTTTCATTCGATCCTCACGCGGATAATGTTTGCAAATCATTAGCGCCGCTTGTTTATATATTATATAATATATAAAAACCAATATTTAATTATATTTCGCAGGTCTTTTGTAATTAAACCATAAAAAACTTGTTACTTTTATTTTTAATTATATATAATTTTTTATATAAATTTTTATATAAATTTTTATTTAAACAGGATTCTAAAATATTTTAAGTGTTTTTATTTTTTAACAAAGGACTTCAAAAATTGAAAGCAAATGGTATCGATTCTTTTTATTTTATTCTTTTTTTTCTGTTAAAAATCAGTGGCTGGAAAAGGTCATGGTTGACAAGTGATGACAATATTTTCGAAAAAATATTTGCCCTTCCCATCTTGACGAAGGGAGCGCTTTCCATTGATACTTTTTGAAACTCAATTATAGAAATTCTCGTCGTCATCAAGAATAAAGCAGTTCGTGCGGCAAAAGCAATGTAAAATCTTTTTTTTTTTTGAAGAAAATCGAATGAAAAGCCTTTTATACAGATTTATCCCGCAAAATCATAGTATGATGGTCATTTTGTGAGTTTTGGAATGATCGAAACTTGTCTGTGATCTACAAATGGGCCTCAGTCGATAAATCATGCCGCATAGATATATATATATAGATCGTGGCTCGTTCTCATTGTCAAAAAAAGGGATCCTCCCATCGGGGGCCCAATTTTCACATCTGCTCATGACAACCACAAACCCTTGGGGACCCTTTTCAACAAAAAAGAAAAAAAAAGAGGTGGAGCACCTTCTTTTATTCTCCAGTTACTTTTCCAATTCTAGGACATGTCTTTAGCGGTATTTAATCCCTGTAAATTAACCTAACAAAATTTGAGTTTTAAACTTTATTTTTCCCCTCTTCTTTTGGATTTAATTTTGTATATTTTCATTTTTTTTATTTAATTTTATGTAGCTATGTATTTTATTTTTATTGTAATAATTAGTTACTAGCGTCATTATCCTCTTTCGCTAACGCTCGCTCGGTTAAAATTGTAATTCTTATTGTTTACTTATTTCAGCTCATTCATATGTATTTATTTTATTTTTTAAATTAATATTATATTAAATTTATTATTATCTTTATATTTTTAAGAAATTTTTTAATACTTTTTTTATCATAAATAATTTATTCTTACGAATATAATGATTATAATTTTTAAAGTTAGGATATATGTAAAGGGCTGAGCAGAATAGAAACGTAAACGTAACCGGAAGAATAAGTTAGAGAAGGACAATCAATCTGTATATTCTACTCTAACTCATTCTTTCGGTTGCGTTTCCATTCTGCTCAGGCCTCAACCAAAACTGGAAAAAGTAGGAGTAGGTCAGTCGACAAGGTTAGATAGTCAAGATTATCTTAAGCCTGCGAACGAATTTCGCGAATCTATTGTGCGTTTGCCTTTATCGTCATGTAAAAATGTTGCGAGGTTAGGACATACCGAAATGCTATTTTTCACTAAATTAATTTACAAAATTATAGTTTTCAACGTTTTATGGTTAAGGGATCCTTAAATGACATTAAAAAAACTGATTTTTATTAAAAATAAGTTTTTAAGGTTATATAAAATAAACATAACCTATAATTTTTTGCTGCTTTTAATCTCTTCCATTAGATCGTATTACATATAAAGAGTACAAATAAAAAAAAAAAAAAATAAATACTAAAAGTATTTAATAACAAATTATCATGAAATTATATATATAGTATGTGAAAATTGATCCCACCGCTGTCACCACAATTGTTTGTCGTTCCCTCTAGCGTAATTTTCCTCTCAAGAATCATTAAATCTTGGATATTTGTAGAAAAATAAAAAAGTGAGATAAAATAAAATTTAACGAAGGTAAAATTGCCATAGGGACAAAAAGGTTTAGTAATTTATTTATTTTTTTTTATGAGCCTTCTTTTTAAAGAAACTGATTTAATTTTAAAAAGTAGCATATATTATATGTGGCGCAAAAAAATTGTGTTTTGACAATAAAAAAAAAAATTGTTCCAATAAAAAAAATGCTGCAAAAACAAGTAATAATTTTGATTCTAACCAAATGAATCGACATTTGATTTTATTTCGTAAAAAAAAAGTAAATAATGGGATTTTAAAATCTGTGTATATGTGATTTCCACGAGAGAAAAATTGATGGCATGTGCTCCGATCGTACTTTTTATTACATCCAAGGATTATAATGTCTGTGTCATCCCCTAGGATAATTTATGAAAGTTTTGGTATGAGAGGCGGAGCCAGTATAACGTCGTCGTTGTCGACTTCACCTTCGCGGGAATTTATCGACGGCTGTTCTTACAAAAGAGACTGGAATAACACCTTTGGGTGAACCACAAGGGTCAGTAGGAACACGTGTGTATATGTCTATGTGTTATAGTTCATGAGTTATTATGTCAGTGAATCGAGTAAGGAAACTTAGTACCACGTGCCTTGGTGACTTTATCCCCCATCGTAAGTGTCAGCCTTAATATTTTTGTCCTGACAACTTGTTTCTCTCTCTCTCTCTTGGCGAATGCGTGCCATTAAAAAATAGTAAATAATCCAACTGTTTTTCCTCGCAAAAGTTCTTTTTTTTAAAATAAAGGTAGTTTAAATTGCTAGATGCTAAAAAAATTACGCTTAGTGCTTTTCCCGGTCTGTCAGACCGCTATTTCTTATCGTGTATATTTTTTTTATTTATTTTACACTGAAAAGTCTATTTCATTATTTTATCGTGAAATAATTGTAATATTTACATATATTTACAGAACCATATAAATATTACATATATTTATAGAATCACGAAATTCGGCCAACGCAGAATGAAACCTTTAATCGTAAATCTTAAACTATTTTACATGAGAGAGAAAAGGACAAAAGATATTTCTATCCTTTTCTCTCTCATGTAAAAGCTTAAGATTTACGATAAGAAATTTCATTCTAGGCCTAACGTCAAAACATTAATTGCAGGTTATGATGTCTGACATAACTAGTTGCGCACAAAGATGCGCAGAAGTTACTTAACTTGTGGTTAAAGGCCAACGCACAATAGATTCGCAAAAGTGAAGCATGAATTAAAAAAGAACAGAGATATATTTGGGCCCTTTTCTATTTCATGCATCTCGTTCGTGAAAGACTTTCGCGAATTTATTGTGCGTTGGCCTTAACGTCACTGACGCTCAAAACTGATGGAGTTGTGAAGCTACTACGATTTTCTGAAATACCGTCGTAGTTCACTAAGTTTTATTTTAAGTGGGAATTACCTCAGCAGTAAAAGATTTCAAGTTAGTAAACAAACACCCCTAACCTCAAAATTTATATTTTATCACGAATTCAGAGAATCTATAAATGCAATTGAATCAAATATATAACAAAATTAATAATCAACACACATTTTAATTTTATTATGTCAACAAGCGTTTTCCGAGTTTAAAGTATGAATAAAATATTGATGAAAGTGGAAACAAATTTTCTTCCCCGTAAGAATAACATTGTGTCGTCTGTTTGTTGTCCCTCCAGGCCTCTGACGTCATATCTTGAACTCGAAATATCTCGATGAACTGACACAGCCTAATATGCACAAAAAATTCAGTTACTACCCAACTCTGCTTTCGTGCAACAATGCAGACGTTGAGTTGTAATTTCCCAGTTCTGATTATTTACGCACTGTCGTCAGCTGTCAGTTGTATTAGTCAAAGATATTTTTATTAATAGACAATAATTATAGGCAAAATATTTCCACATGCAATTACTTATTTATACAAAATTTGTGGATTTAATAAATTAAGTGTAAAATTACTAATATTTTTATTAAAATTAGACAGTTTACTCAAATATGACATCCATTTTTCTAGTAATATTTTAGTAACATTTTTATTCATCACAAATTTATCCTTTACCCTGTATCCTAACGACTTTTATCCTCTATCTTTATAACTTTTTACCCACCTTTTTTTCTGTGAAATACTTTTTGGAACGAATTGTCGTTTACTGTGATAAAATAGAGAATGGTAAAAATGTTGCATTTTGTCCTCTGCAAAAGGCATTATTATAGGTTATGTATTTTTTTCACGGATTTAATTATATATTCAAGTTTTTATTTGTTCGTTTAAAACAAATTATTTTGTATTATAAATTATTTATTTATTCGTTTCATTGTAATTACAAAGTTAAATAAAAACAAAATAAAAAATGAATTTTTTTTATACACTGATATCTGTAAGTTTTGCTAACATGGTATAGGAATCACTATGCCTGGATAAGACTGCATAAAACAGGGTAGCTTTGATTCTTTCCTCTGAAATAGATAAAAAAAAAAATATTTTATAAAACATTATTTTGAAAAAAAGAAAATTGTTATTTTTGAAAAAAATTGTAAAAATATTTTCTTTGTTCCATTTATATAACTTATTAGTATGATATATACTTATTAAATTAATATTTTTTTTATAATCTTTTTTTAGAAGTAAAAACAGTTTAAAAATATTTAAATCAAAATTCGTCAAAGTAGAATAAAAAGGCAAATTTATAAACTCTTTTAAATATAAAAAAATTAAATTAAAATTAAAATTAAATATAAAAAATTTTCTCTCAAATATCAAAAAAGAATTCAGAAAAAAAAATTTATTTTAAAAATATAATTTTATGATAATGATTATTTGAAAATTATTCAAATATGATAATCTTACTTTATTTGTAGGCGCTGATAAGATTTCTGTCGTCATTAGTAGAACGCAAATTGTTAATAATAGAAAATAAAATAATTTCTGCATGCTGATTTCGTTATGTATATATTTATTATTTTAGAGAGAAATTGGAATTCACAGTTTTTTTTTATAAAAAACAATAACAAATTTTTCGTTTATATAATATTCAAATCTCTTATGAATTTCAATTTATTTACATATTGAAATATTTATTATTTATAATATTTATTATTCTTTAAATATTTAAAAGCAATATTTCATTTACATTTCATTGGTCAATCAGAATTAATTTTTGATTATATATATGTAAAACAACACTTGAATCAGTAATACGTAATAGATTTTTAAAAAAGAAAACTTGATAACCTAAAAAAATTGTTAAAAATATAAAAATGCGTATATTATCAAATAAATAATAAATATTTGAAAATAAATTAATTATTTCAATCGTTGAAAATAAATACATTATAAAATATAAAGATTTATTATTTTTATTTTTTTTATTATTTATTATTATCATTTTTTTTATTATTAGTAGGAGTCTATCTATTTTTTTTATTTTTTTCAACAATATTATTCTTACGTATGAAATTAATTAATTTATGTCTTTAAAAAATTGTTATTACTGATGGGATTTGAACCCTCAAACTTTGCACAGAAGTCAAGAATGCTAACCACTAGACTACAAATTGTTTTTGTTATACAGTTTCGAATTAATCGTTATTCACAGTTATAGATTTTGCGTCAAATACGAAATTATATTTCAGTTTTAATTTTTTATTTTAAAATAAAAAATACTTTTTTTCATAGATTTGAAAAAAAAAAAATTAATAATAATAAATATAGATAGTTTATATTTTACAAATAATTAATTAAATAAATAAATAATAATCATAATAATACTAATTAATAATATTTAATCAAATTGACGAATTGTGGCAAATTTTTAAAAATGTTTGTTTTTCTTTTTATTAAGTTTTATATTCTTTTGAAATTTTATTTATTTTTTTTTGTTTCACTTCATAATTAATAAAAAGTTTTTTTTTTAATTTAAAAATTATTCTATTTTTTCCATTTGTTAAAAAAGTTTTTAGAAATGTTTTCTTTCTTCATCAAGAAAAAAAAAGTGAAGAAAAAGAAAAAACAAGGAGAAGAGTAAGGCAATAATAATTGGACTTGAATCTTATCTCCTGAATAAAGTGGATGGTAATCACTTAAAAAAAAAAAAATGAAGAAAGAAATTCTATTGAGAATGTAAGAATGAAAGGCCAAAGTGTGAAAATTAAACAAAAGGCAAGAATGCACTTAAGTCTTTTCAATTGTTAATTCCTCAATTAATAAGAACTGTGCTTTTAATATAATTCCTTCTAATTATGCACTTTACTTATATATTGGTGTGAGGACAAAGTGGAAGAAAAAAATGTGTCTCCGATTTTTTTTTCTTTAATATCATTTTATATTTCACTAAAAAAAAAAAAAAAAAAAATTTCTCTTTTTCTTTTTTCTTTGTGTGATAAATATATAGAGGTATATAAGACTGACAACATGCGAAGAAATGAAATTCGCGAAACTATTTTCGAGAATGACTTTTCCCCACCAAAAAAAGGATAAAAAAAAAAAAAAAAAAAAAAAAATGGAAGAATACGGAAGTAGATGGAAGCGGAAAAGACGACAGCTTCTTTTGCTTCTCTTCTCAATTGTAAAAATGTCAAACGACAAGGAAAATGTCATAGACCATAAATATAAGAGTCTTCAGTCTCTTTTTTTTATTTTTTTGACATTTTTTTTATACTCCTTTCACTGAATTTTATTTTACCTTTTTTTTGGGGGGAGGGGGGTATTTTTCCGTTACTATAAGTGCTCAAATGAAGCCAAAAATGTATATGATAAAATACACTACATTTCTAGGTTAAATAACAGAATAGAAATAATTTAATTTTGACGTATTTCAAAATTATTTTTTTTGGGCAATTTTTATATTAATTAAAGTATAGATCTTGATTTCGAATGATTTTTAGTGAATTTTTCCTAAATTCTCGTGTAAAAATCGAAATGTGCCTATGATGGGGTCGAAACTAGTTTTCCCTATTTCTAATGTAGCTCTTTTTAGCGTAACTAATCAGCGTCCGACATGGTTGCTACACTCTTCCTGACTTTTGGGAACACTTAGGCTCAAATGGGGAAAACTATTCAGAGCCTTGGCAGTCCCAAATTAGTATAAAACACTAAATCCGGTTGGGAACAAATAAGAATTTCTCTTTCCCAATTTGTTTCTATCAAATTTTTTCTCCAGTGTAGAATTTTAAATGTGGCTCTAATGGGGCTTAAACTAGTTTTTCCTATTTCTAATGTGAAAATTTATATTAACAAGTCACTGTAACAAAAGTATTAGAGTAACTAATCGGAGCCCGACATGGTTAATACACTCTTTCTCCCTTTGGTCCAAATAGGGAAAACTTGTCAGAGGCCTGGCAGTTTTTTTTTATAAATTACCTTATTTTTTCCTTTACTATAAGAATACTCAAAATCAAAAATCTGTGATAACACTTTGTACATAAAATTACAGTTCAAAAATTTTAAACGGGCCCTAATAAGGCTCACGTTAGGCAGCCACAAATTCGCATAAAACACTAAATCCGGTCGTGGACAAAGAAGAACTATTTTTCACAATTTGTTTTTAACAAATTTTTCCCATCTACTCGTGTAGAATTTGAAATAAGGCCCTAATGGGGTTCAAAATAGTTTTCCCTATTTCTAATATGGCTCTTCTTAAAGTAATTAATCAGCGCCAGACAAAGTTGCCACATTTTTTCGTGACCTAGAGAACACTTAGAGCCAAATAGGGAAAACTAGTCAGAACTATGTCAATTTTCCTATAATTAACTCTATATAGTCAAATAAATTTTTTTTTAAATTCAAATAAATACCAATTACTACATAAATTCTGAATCTTAATTTATCTAAAACCTTTATTTTTAAACTTTTTTTTATTTATAATAAACATCTGCTCGTATTTTTTTGTCTTTTTTTCGAAAAAAAAATTCCTTTAAAAACGAGATTTTTTGAAAAAAAAATTATGAAGTAGAGACTCTTTTATGCCTTTTAAATTCCATATTTTTTACATGCGGTAAATTTTGCATCTCCAATCTCCTTTTTTTAAGCGTTGTCCTTTCAGAATGCATTTTTCGACCATTAGACGAAAACCATTGACGGATTATCCCCATACGAGAGAGAGAGAGAGGGGGGGGGGTTGATCGAATGCGCGCACGATTTTTGAATATTCTCCTCACTTCGTTCATGGGGAACATTTTTAAGGACATGCATTGTCTGTTCGAAAATATGACTGGGTCTGACAGTTCGGTGCCATTTAACCCCTTCCCTATATTTCTTTTTTTTAATATCATTTTTTTAAAAAATAATAATAGTGATAAAAGTAAAAACAAAATAATGACAAAAATTATAATAAATTAATAATAATAATAATAACTTAATAATAAATAAATAAAAATACCAAATAACCTAAGCCTAATGTGGGCCTAATAGGGCTCTGGCCAGTATTTCTTATTTCTGATGTGGCTCTTTTTAGAGAAACTGACTTACTTCTATCGAGAATATTACGATTTCACTGACCAATATTCTACTTAAGAAAAAACTTACCAGGACCTTGTTAGTTTTCCCTTAAATTTCCCTATTTTGTTATATTATTTTTATTCTAAAAATAAAAAAATTACATTTTTTATAATTTTTTATTTATAATATTCTATTTGAAATTATTACATATTATACAGTATGTGAAATACTTGAAAATAATTTTGAAAAATCTTGCATACATGGGGGATCGAACCCAGAACCCTTGGGACGCGAGGCATGTACTCTGACCGCACAGCCATGTTAACTTTGCAGAATTTTTTTATCTATAACAATTTTTTTTTTTTTAATATTAACACTGTACTACATTCTGTTTGTGATAACAAAATAAATACTAAACAAAATTACTAAAAAAAAAATTACTAAAAATTACTATTAAAAGAAAAAAAAAACCAAAGCTGCATTTTAAATAGGATAAAGTGGGTGAATTTTCTACTTTTGACATCAATGTAAAATTTTTTTTTTCATGGAAAAACAAATTAAAATTTTCATTTATATATAAAACAATGGTAACAAACTTTTTTTATCTTCCAATTTTATTTTTTTTTTTTTTTTATTTTTCAACTCAAATTTCAAGTAAAATCTAGTCTCTCTCTCTCTCTCAATTTAATCGGATTTCAAATCCAAGTTGATTCTCAGTGGCAAAATACTTTTAGTATAAGCACTAAAGGTTCTGATACTTTAGAGTATTTACTGCTTGAAGGAAGAAGTAAATATTATACATATATATATATATATATATATATAACTATATATACAATTTGAAATGGAAAGGAATAAGGGACCGAATTCTAAAGGAATTGAAGAGAAGCTTTATTAAAGTCGCGTTTCGTTTTGTGGTTTGATTCATCCTTGTGTGCAACGAAAGCTGCTTAAAGTTTGTCTCATGAACTGTTTACATTCGCGCCGACCAATCACAACAAAATGTAGAGTCTAAAAGAAAAAAAAAATTAACTTTTGACTTAAAAAAAAAAAATTATTATTTTTTTTTTGCCTACAAATAAATTTTTCTTTCCAAATCACTATAGAAAATTATATAGGCAACAATGGATTTTAGAGGCCAAAAATTTTTTATTTTGAAAAATAAAAAAACAGATAAGTTATCATAAGTTACTTTATAGTTACTATTAGTTACTTTTAATAACTCTTAGTTAATAGTTTAACTACTTTTAGTTACTTTAGGTTAATAGTTAGTTAGTTACTCTTATTATATTTAGTTACTTTTCGTTAATAGTTTAGTTAATAATAGTTACTTTCAGTTACTTTTAGTTTATAGATTAATTACTTTTAGTTATACTGTAGATTAATAGTTTAATTGATTTTAGTCACTTTTAGTTACTTTTAGTTAATAATAATTAAATAATTTTAATACTTGTAAGCCTTTAAAAAATTGAGCCTTAAAGTAGAAAATAGTGGGGGGGGGGTTGGCATAGATAGATCCATTAAAAAAATAATTGAGAAAATGAATATTA